ACAAATCTTATGATAATGTTCAATAAATATAATTCTTATGGTTGCCTGCTTTTTTTATTTTAGGCGGTTCAAACATGATGTTTCTTCTGTTTGAAACTTCGCGAGGTTGACACTATCTGTTGGACGAACGCAAAGCATCTTGTACACACGGTGGAGAAACAAACAGCACATGTTTCATTCGACTGGTCCTCACGGTTGGTTCGCCACAAAAGCAAACCCTCTGTTTTCTGCTCTCTGCCTCAAGCAATTTGACCGTCAGAAACTTCTCGTGCCGCTCACCGAGTTTCAGGTGTTGACGAGGCCGATGCGATAACCTGGTCTACGTTCTCGAATGTTTTTCGGCGACTAGCTGTTTGGCAGCTCATGCGGGTGCAAATCCCCGTGAACTACTGCCGGTGTCCTCCAAGCCTTCTTCAAGTCCAACGGGCTCAGACAAGCAGAGTACTTAGTAAAGTTTTGATTGCTGAATGATATTATTGACCAGTCGTGAGCAGCTCCACCGTATCAACCAACCGGGGTGTGCTATTGCAACACTTCCAAACCCTCACTTCAGAGGGATTGACAAACTTAAAAAAATGAAAATTGGCAGAATCATAAATAATGTGCAATTTCACCTACATGAACATGAGATGTTCCTTCCATGCAGCTCATGCATATGACGCGGAATCTGATCACAAGGCTTTACTTACAAGCACAGCGCACATGCAAATCGTAAACTACCTATATAAGATATCGTAAACGATATATTTGCTAAATAATCTCCTCCTTCTAACGCTAACGGGTCCTTTTACGCGCCTGCGAATTCTTTGTTCATCCTAGGAGACAAATCTGTATTGACCTGCTGACTGTACTTCCGGTGCAAGGTGCGCCTTGTCTTGCGACGTGCGGTGGACTAGGGCCCTCTTTTGTTCGGCCCTTATTTTTTGTCCTTTGTGGCAGGTGAGAGACTGCCCTTTTTTCGCCTCAAATATGAGGTGGCATGTGGAAGATCGCATCCACTGGCCTTCGCTTCGTTATAGCCGGCCATCTGTGACAGTTGCAATGTTGATGATATCAAATGTTAATAGTTAATTTTCGTTATCATTGACGTTCACTAATTTAATTGATTGCTGTTCCGGTGACACAGGAACATTCATTTAAATGATTCAAACACAGTTTTCAGTTTACTGCATATGTTAACCGATGATCAGTGAAACTGAAAGTGTTGTTGATTGGAACTTTGCATGATAAAGCATTTGATAGTTGTTCGTTATGCATCGTTATGATTAGGATTTTTCTTTTGAATATTACAACTATTTGTTGTGATAATCAGCTTTAAATGTCGCTGGTTTATAATGTCCCTGCTTTATCAGTGCTTCAATGATTTGACCGCCAGATTCCAGCTACCGATCTGCAAAAATGCCAATTTTCCTCCAAAAGTAAATTTGTTTCCATCTTGTTAATACATGTTTTACGTATGCCTCCTTGTGAAGGTTTTTCTGCTTCGATTCTCAGTGACAACTCCTGAGGGTGGAGGGAAAAGTTCATATTCAACCAATTTACTCACTCGACCCACATCATTAGTCTGATTTTTACATCTAATGAGGAAGATATCCTGTCGAAAAGTTGCCCATTGATTATGCCCA